AAACTAAAAACGCTGAAAAGGTGAATTTCGAGACATTTAAAAACTGTATCTGCAGTTGAACATAAGAACATCTGCCAAATGTTCTTATGGCAATAGCAAAAGAAGATTAAACATATACGAGTGTTCAATGTTGTGAAGACAGATTGCATCGCGGGCTCAAGCAAGTCCGCCGCGGCTGGAGACTTGGTCCGAGTAAAAGACTTCGATTTTTCGGCCGAAATGCATTCTTGTTCCCAATCCTTTTGGTCAGAGCATTTAAAAGTTAAACCACAGGGTAACTAGTCTAATAAAAGGATAAGATGAACATTGATTTTATTCTATCAATAAAAACTAGGTGAATAAATACGCACTGTCTCGTCTTGTCCCGCGGCTTGCGCAGCCGCTTTCGCCATCCCCCTCCCCCTCCCTCTTAGTAGCTGTAATTTCTCAGATCGTTTACATATTAGTAACAGCAATTTAAGATATTCCGCAATTGCGCACAGACGAGACTCAAATATCCACCAAAAGTAATCCACAAACCATAATCCACACCTGCGCGCGTAATTTAACGTCATTGAATTTCGAAGAGAACCTTAATTATAGACTTTTAACACTTAATAATCAAGGTGTAATATCACCAAGAAACATGACAAGCATAATATTGATTGTTGCCGGGCTATTGATAAATGTACTCGAGTAAGGAATAAAACATTTTCTAGTGTAAACACAGAACATGATATTCATATACGTAGTCGCCTCAATTTTTTTTGGAAGGGATATTTTTTTCGAGGAGGATAAAAGGTTCTCAAGTTAAAAAGTGGTTCGGTTAAAACCAGAACTGACTGTACTGGGCCAGGTTGTACGAAGGGTGGATAGCGCTATCCGACGGATAAATCCTTATCCAGTGGATAAGTCGATGCTGTTATCCAATAAATTTATCCCTGGATAAGATTTATCCGTCGGGTAGCGCTATCCACCCTTCGTACGAACGGGCCCTGGTGTCACGTCAGTGATAGTTTATCAGTTAGATAAAACGATCAAATTTATTTAACGAGCTGGGTAATACATAAGGAGGATGTATTGAACATAATCAACTGAGTTCGGAGCATTACATGTAACTACACCGAGGAAAAGTGACGGGTTGCTTTATTTGAAATCTAAAAGGATATATAATTTATCATATAATTATCCATAAAATACCTATATTTTTCCTTTTCAAAAAACCGATATTTTCATATGTGAAAATAACGTGTTATTTTCACATGTGAAAATAAATAAWTTTTTTTATAATAATAAAAAGCTTATTAAGTTGATTTTATGCTGCGCTCACTCGCATGAGAGATCTTTTCAACACTCGAAGATAGATTTCGTATCTCCGCGCGCCCATGTAATATCCTCTCTATATTTTTACGATTATTTTTATAAACAAAAGTTATTCCCGAGGTTCAAGTGCTGTGACATTAAAAACTCTCGAAGGTGAAGTTTCTTGTTCATTATCACATCAAACTAAAATTCAAATTGGAAAAGTCAAGTAGCCTCTATGAGAGCTAAACGACAATTTTTATTTCATTTTCAAAATCCTAACATTTTAGCATTTTAGAACTATGAATAGTTCAAGGGGAGATAGTTTTATTTTACCTCGTTARCAGCTTTTCAAGCGTCTCGTTATCAATTATGGGTAAAATTTAATTTGCATATCACTTAACTCCAATGAGAACCCTTAATGAAACAAAGTTGTTTGGTATCAAGCTCAATACTCTTATAATAACGCAGCTAAAAAATCATACGTCAGTACTACGAAACAACCCAGGGAAATTAAGGAAGAAACGAACTTTTGAGTCAAATGCTGTGTGATTCAAAGCAGAAACCTCAGTCAGGCTTCTCAGATCCGGAGGAAGGCGGAAAACTAAAAATCCGAGAAAAATGTCAAAAACAGGTAAATTTTGAACTGTATTAATTGTTCTGCCAGTAATCTTTAGCATGCATTTTTACCGGCCACAGTTACACACTGTAACAATTTAGAATTTGATGTTCAGGTTGTTTCGCTTAGTAGAATGTATAACAGCTACGGTGGTGGTAGAGTATTTTGTTGACATCACTAAAGGAAATACCCTAGAGGTTTTGTTTTACCTGTAAGTGTAGCATGTCGACTCTACACAGTAACATGCTTTTTTATTGTTTGGTGTCCAGTTCTTATGATTGTTCGCTCAATAGTATATAATACGAGATACGGCGGTGACCACTGAAGTCTTTTGTCCGTAATATCAAAGAGAAAATGCCCTATAAGCGTGTACGCTAGCACATCTATTTTGCCAGCGCAGTACTTAAAATTTTATAGTTTGATATCAAGTTTTCTATATATTTTCGTACAGATATATATCAGCTGCGATGGTGGCCGGTACCAGGTGGGTAGTATCTATGGTATCGTAGCATTCTGACGGGATTAGAGATCAAACATAACGAGAAATTTTGGAATACCGGGAATCAAATTTACTAGAGCAAATGTGGGATCAATCGAGAAACAGTTTACTGGGACAGACATCAAAACGAAAGGAAATAAAAACAAAAGGATGATTACACCTTTACTGTTTTTGTCAGAAAATAATTTGGCTTTCTCTTCCATTACCACTGTCATTAATCATTACACATTATAGGTAAATCCAATATGAATCAAAGATCGCATTGTGTCTTAATCCTCATGGTAGGACATTTAAAACTCGAACTTTTAAAACATTTCTCAGTTATATTCTTTGCGTTTTCAAGTGCGCAAGAAAATGATTAAGAAGATGAATTAATTTTTTAATTAAAAAGTAGAATTTTAAAAATATGCTTTCAAATGATCGGAAACCGAACGAGTACTAAATAAAAAAAATCTTTGCCAATATAAGATATAAGGACTTGCTAATATGTAATTGGAAAGCCAGTAATTGACTCAGTTCCTGTAACCACACCGCGACAAATGTGATATATTGTGGACGACATTCTACCAATTGATCAACACCGTGAATCAAGGCATTGTTTCTTTTTGAATGGAACCTTGATTTAATTTGTAATTGTTTGAAAAATTTTGTTGAGAAATCCTTGAAACACACTATTAAGCGAAATTAATACTTGGATGGGTGACCCAGTCTCTGCTTGATGCTTTCGGGCCCAAGGGCAGACAAAAAACCTTAATTGCTATCAGGTTCGAAGTCCATACAACGCCTCAGCTCTGCGGATATATTGGAGGTATGGCACAGGGGAATCAAAATTTTGAAGAGATTTCTGTCGATATGACACCGTATCCAGGTATGATATAAATAATATATAATAAAATAATAATATATATATTGAAATAATACAATCCGAAAAGTAAATGAAAATACTTCATCTACATGGACTATACTTTACCGGATGAATTTGAAATACAAAATGTGCTACATTAAAGACCACGTCATGAGCTTAGGAACTTCACATTCTTCGTTAAGGTGGTGTTACAGGGACCAACTTGCAACGCCGATTTTTTGCGCAACACTGTTGCACGAAAAATCGTTGTCGTGTAACATAGCGCCGAGGATAATTTTTCGCGCAATTTTTCACTCTGCAACACGTAGAAAGTTTTTGAACTGGCTTCAAAAAGTTGCAACACAAGATGACGAATTTTCAGCAAATCAATGTGTGTAACATGTCCATCGCCGATTTGACGCGCAACAAAATAGCGCCGACTGTAGAAGAAGTAAGTTTAAAGAGTACAGCAACTGCAACAATTGTCTAAACCTAATGAAACAGACAAGATGAAACTTTTGTAGTTGATRAAAAATGATAAAAGCAAGAAAAGAAGAAAAAAGATAGCCGTGAGTGAGGTGGCAGCGTGTGGACTGAATACTAAAGTGAATGTTGCGCGAAAAGTTGTTCCCGTGTAACATGGCACAAATGGCGCAATAGCGTTGCACGAATAATCGGTGTTGCGAAGTTGTTCCGTGTAACACCACCTTTAAAGAATACGAATTGCTCATAATACAACGTGCATGATGATTGATTTGTAACTGTTTTGATATAGTCACTATATATATCCTTTATTTCAACGGCTTACAATTTCTAAGAATGATTAAGTTCAATGCTTTAAAATGAGGATTTCTCGATTCCTTTCTCGCATTATTTGCAGGTGTATGCTTTAAACTCATTCTCTTCGAGAATTTTTAATTAACTGCCGTGTCAAATATTTTAAACAAATACTATGACTGATGAAGACTGAATTATGAAGTTCAATACTTCAGAATTAGGATTTCCCGATTCATTTCCCGCATTATTTACGAGTGTATGTTGAAACTCATTCTCTTCACTTGAGAATTTGTAACTAACTGACTTGTTAAATATTTCAAATAATATGACTGATGAAGACTAAATGATGAAGTTCAATACTTCAAAATGAGGATTTCTCGATTCATTGTCCGCAATATTTGCAGGTGTATGATGTAAACTCATTTTCTTCAAGAATTCTTAATTAACTGTCAAATAATTTGAATACATTTCAAACTCTACTTTACTTTTCTTAGTTTATTTATTTTTCTCTATATCTTTTGCCAATAATTTAGTTTTTCCGAGAATTCTTGGAAGAAAGAGGTTGATCTTAAGTCAACTTCCCTAATGATCGTATCCAAAACATTTTTTTCCAGACTACAAGCACTGATGCTTCCGCATAATCTTCTTTGAGTTCTTCTATATACAATATACATGTACAATTAAATATTAATTACATGTACTTTTGTCTTCAGGTTGAAGGACAGATATGAAGTGTTAACATCCAAACCAACCACTTCACCAATTTTGAATGGATTGTCATGTCATTAATAGAGCGGGTTTAAAGAATCTTTGTAAACTTTTGTAGAGCCTTCAATTGATGTTATGCCATATACACTATTCGATAAAGGAAATATTGACGGAACTGAAAAAAAATGTTGACAAATAGCAAAGCAGAAAAACTCAGAAGCTGTTAAGAGTACAAGAAGGAAAAGAAAAGAAATAAGATCAGATTTCCCGTTTGAGGTAAAATGATGATCAACACAAGCAGAAATGAAACAATGCTTAAAGCAGAAGAAGAAAAATTTTCCGATCATCGCACACAAGTGGAAATAATACTCCAAGCTGCATTTCTAGGAGTGATCATGTTCTCGTCCATCTTCGGGAATATTCTCATTCTACTGGCTATCTACATAAACCGTCATTTACGCGAGGTAACTAGTGTATTCATAGCGAATCTCGCTTGCGCAGACCTTCTCTTATCTCTCATAGGGATGCCATTTACGTTGACATCGTCCATAACATACGAATGGATTTTTAGTTCTCACTGGTGCAAAATCAATGGACTGTCCAATTCAGCGTTCTGCATTGCGTCTATGCTCTCACTAGCAGCTGTATCGATCGATCGATACGTGGCAATCATCAAACCATTGCAATACAAACTAATCATAACTCCAAGGATAGTGACAATGATGATCGTTTATGTCTGGTTCCAGTCAATTTCCTGCGCGTTGCTACCAATATTTGGATGGTCTAGATACACCTACATCAGGAAAGAGTCAATATGTACGGGTGATTGGGGGTACAGTATCCCCTATACATTGTTTATATTCACTGCTTGCTTCATTATTCCACTTCTTGTTATGGTTTATAGCTATTACCATATACTTAAGACTGCTCGAGAGCACTCGAGAAGAATTGCCACAACTCGCTTGGGACAACTAGGTGACAATCCACTGCAGACAGCAATGGCAGTGCCTACTGTTAAACGCACCTCGATGCTTAATTCCTCTCGCGTAAGTGTATTATCGGTTCTTCAAAATAACGAGAGCAAGTCCAGGTACATTAGGGACGAAAAAGCTGCCAAGACATTACTTATTGTAGTCGGTTCGTTTTTATTTTGCTGGTGTCCTCATTTTATAGGCATGACTTGTTTGCTATTCCCCTCATGTTCTTGACCTGATGAGTTTTACGCCACTACGACCTGGCTTGCAATGATGAATAGTGGCTGTAATCCTATCATCTATGGTGCCCTTAACAGACGATTTCGGCAAAGTTTTAAGGATATCATTTGTTGTGGACGGACGAAAAAACACAGAGCCAAAAGTGGACCCGTTTAAATGCGAGCAGGATGATTCAGTGTCTAGTTTGTATCATATTCCAGGCGCACAAGATATGAGAATAAGTTAATAAGGGCCGCGCGAATATCGAAAATTTCTTTACTCTTTTCTGAGGGAAAACGCAAGTTTTGGCACTTTTGACTTGACGCTACCCTGGGTTCCAGAGGCTTGATGAGGTCGAGGTGGAATTGGGAGGAGAGGGGAGGAGAAGGACCTCCTCAAGCCTCTGGAACCCAGGGTAACTTGACGCTCACAATGTGGTTCAAAATTCATATGGGATGAATAAATTACGTTAAAGCACTAAAATGCTGCAATGCTCCCTTGCTCAATGCTGAAAAAGCTTAGAATTCTTCTTCAGGGTACGGTTGTACGAAGGTTGGATAGCGCTATCCGACGGATAAATCTTATCCAGTGGATAAATCTATTGGATAGCAGCATTTATTTATCCACTGGATAAGGATTTATCCATCGAATAGCGCTATTCACCCTTCGTACAACCGGGCCCAGAAGTTCTAATTTTCTTAAGACTAATTCCACTCATAAGTCGGTGTATTCGCCATTTTGTCGATTCTGGATATTGATCACGACGAACCAAGAACGGAGCGAAAACTACGGCTTATGGAATTAGTCTATAACTTTCTGAGCCATTCTCTAAACTCGTTGGGGAAAGCAAACGCAATTTGGCACTTTTGACTTGAAGCTCTGGTAGTAACATGGAATCTATAGTAAAAKGCTGCGATGTTCACTTCATTAAATAAATATTTTTCCCACTGAACTTCCTTATTTTATCCTCAAATATATCTACACCAAATTTTATGCTTTTTTTTCCACTGAAAATCTCGACTATAATTTTGGGAATGCAAATTCCTTCAACAATTTAATTAAGTAAGTGATGCCGTAGCTAAAAATGTCTATTCGATATTACGGTCTGCACGGTACGTACATACGATGTAATATACAGCAATTTCCAAAATGGTGGGTGAAGGTTTTTGTTGCATGTTGCATTCTGCATCTTGCATGCTCCTTACTAAGCTTGAAATGTATTGTACAGCTATTTCAAAAAAGCTTGAATACTGAATACTGCTTACTGAATAGCGCATTCCAAGACCGAAGTGCATTGTGGGTCATCGTGATATTTTCTAAAATAGGATTAATAATAATTATTTATTCTATTTTTAGTGTATTCCATCTGAAACAATATACTGACTACATGTAGAGAGTTCATTGCTGTACATTTACTTTTTATTTTAAATTAACAAGACCCACAATGCCCTTTGGTCTTGGAATGCACTATTCAGTATATTCAACCTTTTTTGAATAAGCTGTATACAATCAATTGAAGAATCGTTGTCGGGTTCAGAAACATAGAACATAAAAGCTAAGACCGAAATGGCACATGGGAAATAACATAATTATGTTATAATTTATTCATTTACGCCATCCATGCAGTCGGTTTAGAATGCCAAACGTGTATTAAAAACAGTGGATGATGCCACGGGTCGCCGGTCATAGCATGCATCTAATAAACGTACTTCCCATGTGCCATTTCGGTCTCAGCTTCTATGTTTCTGAGACCAGCAACGATTCTTCAATTGAGTATATAGAAGAAATTATGAAGAGAAGAACACAGAATAAATTATGTTGGTAAACGAGCAGACAAAGTTGAGGAAAATTAATAACTAATAATATTCAAAATTTAATTAATAACCGCTAAGTTGAGTTTACTTGCTGGTGTAATTACAAACGTGCGCAGGGGTATACTTAGATGTTTTGAGTTGGCTGAAGAATGCTTTGATTCAGACGGCTGCGTTGGAAGGTGACAAGCCTCTTCACTGAACACCACGTACGTGAGTCAAAACAGGATACGATTTTCAAAAACATACAAAGAAACGAATAATAAAGAACATAATAAATAAATATTTCAAATAAATAAACTGAGAATCACGATTTTATTTTTATTTTCGAGGACATCCTTAAAAGCAAATGTATTAATTATCATTATTATATTATATATTTCTCGTGCGTCGGCCTATCCTTCGGATAGATTATTTACTTATTATTTATTATTATTATTTATTAATTATTGTTTCCCTCCCCTCCTAAGTAGCAGAGATGTTCGCGATAAGAAAACGGCGCAGGAGAGTCTCAAAAGCCGAACTCGCTAGGAAACGAGGAAATTGTGAGAGTCTCAAAAGCGGAACTTAAACAGAACTCATCGCTGTAATAACAGAGCGGGTTCTATCTCTGGCTCGGAAATAAATAAATGGCGAGAGTCATAAAAGCCGAACTTAAACAGGACTCGACGCTGTAATAACAGAGCGCGTTCTATGTTTGGCTCGGGAATAAAAACATGGCGAAAGGTCTCAGAAGCCGAACTTAAACAGGACTCGACGCTGTAAAAACAGAGCGCGTTCTATATTTGGCTCGGGAATAAAAGCATGGCGAAAGGTCTCAGACGCCGAACTTGAAATATACCTCGCGATGCTATAAAAAGAGAGCGGCTTCTATCTCTAGMTCGGGAACAATGAAATGGCGAGAGGCTCAAAAGCAGAACTTAAACATAACACGGGGCGGGTTCTATGTCTGGCTCCCAAACAATGAAAAGGCGAGTCTCAAAAAGGCAGAAATCTTACAGAATTTATCGCTATTATAACAGGGCGGGTTCTATCATTGCATTGCATCTCTGCATTGAACGTAAGCAGATTTCGTAGGAGTGGAACAGGGAAGGGCAGATTGTATGCCTTTCTAAAGTGCGGAATACGCAGACCGTAATTAGATAAATTGTAGAGAATCGATGGAAATCCAACTCAAATGCTATGCGGTATGCCATGTACGCGCTATTAGTATATTCTCCACTCACACGAAAGCCGCTCTTATCTGAGTTCAAAAGAAAATGAGCGAGTTTTTTGCAGTGTTAAATGGAAAAGGTGGTCTTTGACAACCTCCTCGAGACGAAACCTAAGCAGGTGACTAACTCTCTGCGTTCTCTATTCGTCTACCTAATTTTCCACAGAAGATTAACTTTTTGAAACTTTGTCGAAACCGTCTGTTAAGAAGCCCATAGATAATAGGATTGCAACCACTGTTCATCATTGCCAACCATGTTGTGGTCGCGAAGAATTCGTCAGGCCAGGGGCATGATGGAAAAAGTAGGCACGTCATGCCGAGAACGTGAGGAAACCAACAAAATAAAAATGTACCCATCACGAGTAGAAGAGTTTTGGCTGCTTTCTTGTCTTGCTTGTATTTCTTTTCTGTTCTTTGTCTCTTGTTTTCCTGAGAAGTATTTATTTCGATTTCTATGGATTTTACTTGAGCGAAATCGTGTTCTTTTTTGGTAGATTTGTTTTGAGCGAGGTCTTCTTCTTTGGTCATTTCTTTGGCGATATCTTCTTCACGAACGTTGCTTTCAAGTTCATTGTCTTTCGGTTTCTGACGCTGTTCTATTTTATCCAAAACTCCGATGCATTCAGTAGCAGTTTTTATACGCTTGGAGTGATCGATTGCTGTCTTAAATATGTGGTAGTAACAATAGCTCATTATTATTAAAGGGAAGAAAAAGTTCAGAGCAAAGAGAAAGAGTACATATGGTATATCGCTTGGCCAGTCTCCAGTACACATCGATTCATTGCGTACATAAGTGTAACGCGACCAGCCAAACACAGGCAACAGCGCACAGAAAATCGATTGGAACCATACATATACTATCATGATTGTCACAGTCTTTTGAGTCATGATCAAACGGTATTTTAAGGGTTTGGTTATGGCAACAAACCGTTCAAAGGACACGGCTGCTAAAGAAAGCATCGAAGCAAAACAGAATATTCCGTTTGCCATTCCATGGAACCTACACACGTGCTCACCAAAGATCCAGTTATACGTTATGGACGATGCCAACGTAAATGGCATTCCTATGAGAGATAAGAGAAGGTCTGCGCAAGCGAGATTCGCTATGAATACACTGGTTATCTCGCGTAAATGTCGGTTTATGTAGATAGCCAGTAGAATGAGAATATTTCCGAAGATAGATGAGAACATGATCACTGCCAAGGAAGCTGCCTGAGCAAGAACTGCCATAGAAGATCGTTTGTCGTAATCTAAAGAGCCGTTGGTGCGCCATTCTGTGAAATTTAAGGTGTTGTTCAAGTTGACCGAAATCGTGAAGTTCATGTCTCCTCAGGAAGTTTTTCTACGAATAGTAAAAAAATCACAATTAGTTACGAGCTTCTCTCAATATCTCTAGCTTTGATTGAAGCTATTAGAGCTCCTAACAGTTTGTCTTGGCTCAAGCCTCGAGTTTAATTCCTCAAGATTCTAATTCAAGTGTAGCGCTTTGATTGCGTTGAGGAAAGAAATGCAGTCTTTACGCTCTTAGAACTATCGTCTATACAAACCCTCTACGCTTTCAAGTACGCATTTATATTTCTTCCTAGAAATAAGTGAAAGGTCTATAATTGGATGGTGTTTACGTTTTTCCTGCAAAAACGGAAAGAGAGAGAATTAAGGCATTGAATTAAATGACGCGAATACTAATAAGTGTGCCGGTTTGATCAGCTATGATTGTGCGTGCGTTTGCCCTTCCAATAGGAAGACATATCACTGAAATAAGAAACTTTTTGGAAATTCCTTTAATAAATTTTCAAATTCTAGTTACTTTTCTACAATATTCGGAAAACCAATCCGAAAATAACTAGGTGTCTAGACAAAAGACATATGCAGAGTGCTACATTTATTAGCAAGGAAACGATGAAAAATTAGGACCACATTGCAATGATTTAGATCGAACTTAATTACGATATAACATACACAAGAGAATATTTCAAATCTAAAACCACATATTTTGGGATATATATAGAGAGGATATTACATGGGCGCGTGGAGATACGAAATTTATCTTCAAGTGTTGAAAAGATCTCTCACGAGTGAGCGCATCGAACGAGTGAGAGATTTTCAACAAAAGAAGATAAATTTCGTATCTCCAAGCGCCCATGTAATATTCTGTTTATWATATATTTATCCATAAAATCAACTTAATAAGCTTTTTATTATTATAACTAACTAATAGCTTAAATACACATGGTAACGATATTTTCACATGTGAAAATAACATGTTATTTTCACATGTGAAAATATCAGTTTTTCGAAAAAGAGAAATATAGGTATTTTATGGATAATTATATGATAAATATATATATATATATTATTTATTTCAATTTATTTTTCAAACCTGCTGCAACAGTCAATTTCATGCCACCCCACAAATACTTCAATCCATGTTTTCCATTTTGAGAGGCAATATTTTAAAACTTCAAAAATAATTCCGCCAAATGATGTCGTGAAGCACTAATGGACGGAATCAGCAACAACTCCCATGTCAAAAGAATTACCTGCGGTTATCCGTTCTTATTCAGCGCTACTTCAGTTGTCTTCATTAAAACCAAAAAAAAGATAAGAACGAATAATTTGGGCGAAATAAAAGCTATTCTCGATGAACAATATCCTTTTTCCTTAATCATTATGACCTATTTTACCCATGACAGATGTTTACTTTGTTTATTTTAATGACACGATCACTTGTTATTTTGATCAACAAACGTAAGTTTGATTTAAAAAGAAACTGGCTGAAAGAAACTGAAAAAAATAGTAAGCTTGTGTTTTCAGAATATCTTAAGAAACTTCTAGAGCAAAGAATAGTTTTTTTATTACATTATCTTCACAAGAAAAAATACACTTAATTCAAAAAACGTTGTCGGAGATCTGAAATGGGCGGGAGATCTGATTCTAAAAACAATTTTCTGCTTTTATGTTTTGTTGATAATATACGAAAAATCACATTTCTAACTCAAAAGCCATGCGTCATATCCTAATATAAAAGAAAACTAGCGTGCAAATGGGTGTCAGAGAACCTATATTTCATATTCATATTCATATATTATGTTGACCGAAACAACATACAAAAATAAATAAAACCTTCACATGAATAGCGACAAAGTGATGCATTTAAAAGTCTTCAACAACCATGGTTAGAATAAATAAAGTGTTTAACGGTGTAAAGAGCCAACAAAGAGAGTCTTTAAAATGATTTTAAGCTGTTAAGAGCTTAAAAACCTGCTGGTCACGTGACAGTTATATCTATACTAGTATTTGAAAGTGTATTCAAAAATTTCAAATTTCTATTTCAAGAAACGTTGTCATCGCCAAAGGCGATATGCAATAGGTCATTCTAACATGGAAATGGTTTCGTTGAATATAAAGAACATCGAATCAGTCTCAACACTAAGGTCCATGTTCTTGACGAGAATAAGAAGCAGAAACACAAG